AGTCATAGAAAGTGCTAGCTACGTTCTGTCAAAGCACCTGCTGCAACCTTGCATTAGGAGAAAACTTAATATTAGCGGTTCCGAAAGTATATGTCGCGGTGAGAGAGAATATAAGGAGATCGAATTGAATTTATTTATTTACTGATTTAACGTACGCATAAGTGCGTTAGATTGCCAGCGGAAACTAGATGGGTTACAAAATGCAACAACCAAGCGGTATATCAAAAAGAAAGAAAACAAAAAATTCTCATAATACAAGCCTGCATTTGGGTATTTGGGAGAGTAATGTTGCAATTTTCTTGCTAAATGTAAGAGGGTTCTTTAGCAATGCAGACGGTTGCGAGGGAGTATGGAAAAAAAAATTCGGCAATCTTTTTCTGGTTGCTGATTTAGGATCCGAGCCGAATTATACATGAAAGTTAGGATGGTTTCAAAGGAAAAGTTTTTTGATACAGCCGAGGGCCAACAGCGGTCAACTCGAGGGATAGTGATGGAGGGGGTCTTGTAAGCGGTGAAATTCCTTTATCGCCATCTCAAACCAGCATTCAGTTCTATTTATTTCTAGTAGAGTGCACATTTGTGTGCAAGTCCATCGGCAACGAATTTGAGTAGAGGAAAATTGAGACTACCGATCCGAGTAACGAATTTCTCCAAATGCTGCAGAAGCTAGCCAGTTCTCAATACTTTTATCATAATTTCTAATGGACGCTGAATCGAACCGAACGATTAATGTGGTAACAAGAAGAATCACCAAAAGTTATATTGCAAAAAACTCTGAAAATCCAAAAATGGTTCAAACGTTATTGCAAAATTATTTCTTTTTTATTATTGCCATCGAGGCGGAGGTGGTGTAGTGGCAAGTGGTACGCTCACCATATCATTTGGGGGTCAAATCTGGGGAATTCCCACCAGGCCAATTGAACCTTCAACCCTCCGGGGACGGTAAATTAGTACCAGGCTCGTCTGCGGCTGGCTCTCTCAAATCATTGTATAGGCCACACAGCATTTAGTAAGCTACCACGATTTTGAATGGAAAAGGAATGCGTGGTGCATCCCAGGAAGGGACTGATGAACTGCAAAGTTACTAATGTTTTGCTAGTAATTTGTAGCAGCTCTGCTCCATTCGACCGGGCAGCCTCACGAAGAGGGCCACGGGAGGAGCGACAATGTCTAAAGTTCAGCGAGAATGAAACGCGATCAATCTAGACTCGAAAGCAAGCGCCGCCAAAGACCGTAATGAATCTCTGAGGTCTATTGCAAAACCTCTGGTACCTGTTTATGTGTTCACATTCGGATTCCAGTGAGGCTCCTGTGCAGCACAATACTATGATGTATTGAAAGGGTGTAGTTAGTTAACCCGACATACTGTAGCACTTCCTTGTAAAATCAGGTGGGTCCTGAGAAGAATACCCCGCAGATGAAGCCACCTGTAACTCAGCACGCGATGCGTCGTCACATCATAGATTTCTGGACCGTATAGAACCCTTGGGAGGCAGTGCCTTACAGAGAGCATTCCGCTTTTTCCTACAACAGTTGGAATGATAGCGGCGAAAAAACGCTGGTTGAGCGGGTTGACCACTCCTTAGTGGTAAAATGATTGGTGAGATCGACTCCTATACTGAACCAGTGAAGCTCTTCCGGCTCTACTTATCCTTAAGGTTCGACAAAGCAAACAGAGTTCGAGTTCATTTTTTTTGTTTTGACAAACTCTTTCATGCGAGTGGGCTTCTAAGTCTCAGAATCATAGCACATCGGCGCAATATATGGGACCTCTTCAAAATTCCTAGTACTATGTACGTACGCAAACGAACTCGGAAAAAGCCGAGTTCGAGCACTTCTTTCTTTCCACTCAGGTGAGCTTTTCGGCTCAGTTCCCATTCACGTCAAGCTCCATATGGATATCAGTTTGGGAAAGAACTAACCACTGATTGTTTCGCCTCGTTTGGCAGCTAGAAGCAGTGGAGTTTCCTCATCTTCGTCCAGTGCATCCAACGAAGCGCCGTACTCATAAAGACTGAAAGCCAACAGTTGCATTGTTGTTAGACAGTTATTCTCTTTGAGATGTAGGCATTGTCACGGTAGCTTTGATTTTCCTTTCAAATGTAGCGGCTCTCTAGAGCAAAACAGTGAAATGTGTAACAACATTAAGAAGACAGAAAGGGGTATACTGCATATACTGCAAAAGAAGGCCCTGCAGCCCAAAAAACAAAAGGCGCAATTAGGCGACGTGTGTGGGCCATTTGGTGGCACCTTCCTGCTGTTACTGGGTACCGGTTGCTTAGGGTTTACAAGTCATCATTTGGTGAAACCCGTACTCCTGTGAAGCTGGACCAAGCTCGTCAAGCATGGTAGAACCTGTCCACTGAAGATAAGGCTCTCTAAATGGGTCGAGACGTCCATGCGAAGCAGCAAAAGTGCAATATGTCCCCCCACCCTTTTTTTTCTGTGAAAGGTGCCTGCTCCACAACCACAAGACTCGTTGGCACCTCTTTTTTTTTTCTTTTTTTTGTTGTGGCAACATTTAGATCAAGAAATTGAAGGTCCTGGGCATCCACTATTCTGTGAAAAAGTTCATTACACAAGCTGCAGTTTTTCATTATACAAGTATCAAACAGAGATAAAGGCTTACGCACGCGCCGGCTCACACTCAATGTATCAGCATTGATGTACTGAGGCAGACGATATGCATGGGGTCGTTTGAAGCTGTGATGCGCTGAATGTGATGAATCCGGCACCAAGTTCCGCCCTCGTCTTTACTGCTGTCTCCAACGACCATAAAATCCGGAGGAGATATGTGGCTGAATAATAAAATCAATGGATTATTAAGGCACGAAATTGCACGTGCGGTAGAATTTCGTCACGAATTTGATGATTTCAATGATGTAAAGGGCAGAGTCATAAACAGACGATGCGCTCAGTGCACAGCGGTCAGAGCGGCGCATTCCTTGAGATGCTTGCATCGCCGCTGGACATCCATTCAGAGGCCATTCAGATATCAAACTATTGTTTCGCGCCTGATAGCAGTACCGAGTAGTTACTCCAGTATGTAGTTATCTGCTAATGTAGGGCATAGGGTCAAACGTAATATATGAAGAATCGTCTGGCGAAATCAAGTATTATGGTGAAGATGTGTATGGAATTCTGGTGCAAGTGAACGTTTCAATAATAAACAGAGCAGTGATAACTTTTGGGGATATTGGCATCGTGTTCACGTTTCGTCATAAAACGCGGTGTCTCTGCCGAATCAATTGCATGGGAATGCATGAAAAATTAAGATAGTGTGAATAAAACGACCCCATAGATATAAGGTACCCTAGCACCCTTACAAGGGAGGTCGTTCAGGTCGTGGTGAGCCTTTTGAAAACGGTTGTTGCATGATGTAGGAGTCCAGGCATGGACCACACAGGTTAGCTTCATTTCTGCTAAACGCTATTGGGAATGCCAAAAGGAATAAAAACAAATTGCTCAGAATAGGCAAATAATCTCTTATTCGGCTCTGTTTTATTTTTTTTTGTTGTTTTGTTTCTGGTTCTGTAAAGCTGAGAATATATTTAGCTGTAAAGCTGAGCACCTCCTATTGGACTGTAAGGTTTACGAAGCCGTCATGCCCTGAGGTATCGCCTCAGGTAATTCAGGGCTTAATCTTAAATCTTCCTGAAAATAAGGTCACAAAATTAAAAAAGTTTGTTAGATGATTGGATTCGCTATGGTTAGAGCTATCCACTGGTCTAGCTTCCAAGTACCAACGTGTGAAGCACTTCTACAGAGCTTACCTTGAAACTACGGCACCGCGACAGAAAAAGGTGTCGCAAACTTACGGCTGACCAAAATTAGGGGGGAGGTTTCGATAAAGCATTCTCGACAGGGGTTGGACAGTATTCGTCGTAAACACGTTACCAGCCAGATGTTCTTTCTTTTATGATCCCTCAATATTCTCAAATGGAGGTAGAGGTGATGTATTGGCAACTGGCAAACTTACCACGCGCATGGTTCTGAGATCAAACCTGGATCCCGTCCAAGCCAACCAAGCCTTTCAAGCCT